CCTTTTGCGACTGAGATACTTCACTCAGCATAATGTCCTCCAGGGTCACCCATTTTTAATAATACTGCATGAGTTCCTTGTTTTTCAATGCAGCGTAGTGTTCCATTGTGTGAATACATCACAGCTTCTCTATCCATTCGTTTGTTGATGGGCACTTAGGTTGTTTCCAACTCCTTGCTGTTGTGAACAAAGCTGCAATAAACATGGGTGTACATGGCTTTTTAACGTTTTCAGTAGGGACACTGTGCACCCAAGTGAAATGAGTGAAGTCTTGGCCACACCATTCTTTCTCCATTTATCTTGATGTTGCTCCTCAGCACATCCGGGAAGATCTTTGTTTCCTTCTAGGTGTAGTGTCTGATCTTTATCCCTGGCATTTCAGGTCCTCTTCAGTTTCAGTAGTGTGGCCTTCATAGCTGCCTTGCTCTGTAAGCACCAAGGCTGTTAATGACGGCGGCATAGAATCCCTTGGTGTTTCGAGTGGGTAAGCCCTTGACCACTAAGCTAGAAGTTGGTGGTTCTAATCCACCTAGAGGCTGCTGGGAAGAGCGATCTCACGGCCAGCTTCCGAAAGGCCACAGCCCTGAGCCCTCATGGGCATTTCTGTCTGCACTCATGGGGTCACTGTTGGTCGGAATCAAGTCAGCAGCCACTGGCTTGGGTTTTGCTGGGCTTTATTGTGGGAAAACTGGTTGGGACAGTGCGATATTCTGGGAAGATTTAGATGTCAACACTTCCCCCACCCCACATTTCAGTTGTTGTTGTTGTGTGCCATCAATCAGAACCATCTCATAACTGACCGTCTGGTGGGTTTTCCGAGGCTGTAATTCGTTGAAGAGGAGATTGCTCATCTTTCTCTCCTGGAACAACTAGTGCCTTCGAACCGCCTGCCTTGGGACTGGCAGCACCCAACCACTGAGCCACTGAAGTTCCCCAGATGGTCTCAAAGACCCTGGAGTCCAGCTTTGCCAGCGCCTGTGCTTGGGGCTGGGTGCCGACTGGGGGCAGGAGGGTACAGGGAGATTCTTGGTCCACACCCTTCCCCCAGCCTGGAAGATGTTTCTGGAAGCACCAGGGTCCCCAGGGCAGACCGTGCGTCCCCCTCCCATTCACGGCCCCTGTTTGTCTCATGCACAGTTCTCCTGTGTCTTCCCTGAGATGGTGGAGAAGCTGGTCCTGATCGACTCTCTGCCCCTCGTCCTGGACTGCCACGTAAGAGGGACCTCACTACAGAGGGTGGTGAAGGGGTGTCAGGGGACCCCCACAGAGGACAGCTGGATGGTCAGGGAAAAGGGCACAAGGGGGGTTGTTGCTCTTGGAAATCCTGGGATGGAAGGGGCATTGTGCCTGCTGGGTGGGGAAACAGACTTCCCAGAACTGCGCTGAAAAGGACAGAGATGGACATTCCCAGGTCCGTGCTGGGGAGCCTGGATGGGAGGAGGCACAGTGAGCCCCCCAGGACACATACATGCTTAGTTAGGAACCTTGTGCACTCAGACCAGAGCCTGAGAGAGGGACAGTGGAGAAAGGCTGACCCTGCATGCACACACACACACACACACACACACACATTTCCCGCTGTGTCACCACCACCAACACAGCTCCTGGATCTGAGATCAAGGCTCTGTGTAGCTGCCACGTGGCTTGGGGCAAGTCCCTGCCCACCGGTAAAGGGAAGGCATCGAGTGAGATGACTAGGACGTCCCCAGGCCACTCACATTCTGTCATTCTGTCCCTAAGGGGACCAAGCCAACATCAGTTTCTGTTTCCTCGGCTGTAATGACCCCAAACTCCACAAGGACAGACCCATACTTTCGGTCACCATTTCCCCAGCCCCCTGACACAGGAAGGAGCCCTGGTGGTGCAGTGGGCTAAGTGGTGGGCTGCTAACTAGGTCAGTGGGTCAGAACCCCCTAGCTGCCCTGGAGTGGACCTGGGGGGAGGGATTGTAAAACAACGAAAGAATTTTTCCTTTACTTTTCAAAGAGAAGGTGTACTGGGGCGGGGAGAGGTGGACAGGGAGAAAAGTGCAACAATGAATGAATGGAAATCTAAAGTCTCTGTAAATTTTCATTAAAATGAATAATAAAAAAAAATACCTAAAAAAGATTACTGAGCCCGTTTGGAGCCCTGGTGAAGGGTAAGGCATTGCACTGCTGGGTATGTGATTCAAATCTACCAGCTGCTCCGTGGGAGAAGGGTGTGCAGCCTTTTGTGGGATTAACTGCCTCTGAAAACCCACAGGAGGGTCACCTGTGGGTGGGTTCCGACTCACTGGTACACAAGGACAGCAGACCCCTCTGGAAGACTGCCATCCTTTCTCCTTCAGAGCTGCTGCTGTGTTCAAACTCCCAACCTCTTGGTTTGCAGTGTGATCCATTACGCAGTATGCCACCAGGGTTCCTGCAGGGACGACAGGCCGTGGGGGCCCTGGAGGGCTGTCTGCCTAGTCCATCAGGCTCACTGTGCCCCAGAATGCAATGTCCAGTAGGAGATCTGTCCCCGCCCTCACTTTGGGGTCCAGTGGTACCGGACAGATGGCCGCTCAGTGACATTTCACCCTCTGGGTGCACGGGGGTGAGGGGGGTGCGCTCTCTGGGTAGGGAGCGTTCGCCTCCACTGTTTCCTCCCACTGGCTGACACACCCTGGGGCTGGAAGTGGGAGCACTGGGGCGCTGGCTGGGCAGGAGCCCCCTCCTAGCTTGCGGCTGTGAACCCCTAGGAAAAGGAGAACATGCTGAACTACAAGCGGAAAGTCATCGAGCACGTGCTGCGGCTGGAGGTCTCGGGGAAGCCCCCGAAGGTGCTCAGTCCTGAGGAGATGCTGCAGGGGTGGGTACCGAGCACGGGGGAGAGGAGGGAGAGGTACAGGGGTGTCATGGGGAGGGGAGATGGAAGGTGCAGGGCTACTGTGGGGGGGTGCTGTGGGGTGGGGAGGTGGAAGGTGCAGAGGTGCTGTGGGTGAGGGGAGGGAGAGATACAGGGGTGTCCTGGAGGAGGGGAGGTGGAAGGTGCTGGGGGTACTCTGAGGGGGGTGCTGTGGGTGAGGGGAGGGAAAGGTACAGGGGTGTTGTGGGGGTGGGGAGGTGGAAGGAGTATGGGTGCTTTGAGGGAGGGAGGTGCTGTGGGAGTGGGGAGGTGGAAGGTGCAGGGGTGTCATGGGAGGGGAGGTGGAAGGTGCAGGGGTATCATGGGGGAGGGGAGATGGAAGGTGCAGGGGTGTTGTGGGGAGGGGAGGTGGGAGTTGACCGCCAGATGCCTCTCACCTCTCGCTCTCACTGTCCAGAGCTGCGTCCTTCGCCTTCACGTCCGCTGACCCTTTGCCACGAACTCATCTGCCCCTGCTGCTGTATCCTTCCGCATCCACACCTTGTCCCTCTGGACTCCAGCCCGGGGCCCCTTCCACGAACCCCAGCACCTCTCTCCCTGTGCTCCTCACTCCTCCTTCAGGCCTTGACCTATCACATCTTCCAAGAAGTCTGCCCTGATTGCCCTGGTGAGCTGCCCATGTCCTGGGCTCCCACCTGTAGCACCTGCCTGTAGGTAACCACGTGGTCCACCTTTACCCTCCCACACTGCTGTTGGGACTGTGTTGTCCAGACATATATCCCTCTGGCACTTATTTCAGGGTGTGGCCACAGTGTGCCCATGGGTGGTGGGGGCTCCGTAAATATTTGTGTCAAAAGGATTTACTAAGAAACCCTCATGGCGCAGTGGTTAAGCACTCGACCTTAAAGTCAACAGTTCAGGCTCACCAGCGGCTCTGAGGAAGGGTGGGAGGTCAGTTTTTGTAATGATTATGGCCGTGACAGTTCAACCCTGTCCAACAGGGTCGCTGAGTTGGAATCAACTCAATGCTAAAGGGGTTTAACAGGAAGGGAATTACAGCACGTACACACACACACACACACACACACACACACACACACACACACACACCTTGCACAACACTGCCCAGAGTCCAGCCCCTACAGCTCTGTACCCTTCTCCCGCCTGAAGTCCTCTGTTTCTCCGGAGCCTGCTTGTCCTTTGTCGCATGCACACCTGTGCCCCACGGAGCACCCCTCTGCCCCGCCCTCCCGTCCTCACCTGGCCTCCCGCTGTCCCCACAGGCTCCTGAGGAACAACACCCACATGAGCGAGGAGTGTGGGAGACTCCTCCTGCAGAGAGGAAGCACCCCAGTGGGCACAGGTGGGGACGTGCTGCCCGCCGTCACTGCTGAGCTGATGGCCATTGTGGTTTGTGGAATTTTTTGAAAAATAGTTTCTCATTTGGGTGAAAGTTGACAGGGCAAATTGATTTCCCATTTGATAATTCACGCGGGTTCTCCCTGCTGACGATCCCCACGGTGTAACAGCACCCTTCCCACTTCACCCTTGTCTCCCCAGTCCATTCTTATTCCTTCAAGTGTCCTGAACCTTGTCTCTGGGCAAAGGCTACCTCTTGATCTTGTAACTGTTGTTAGGGTGTGTTCCTTCCTGGTGTTTTTTTATCATTGTGTGGTTGTGTTGTGTACCTTCGAGCTGGAATCATCAGAGGCTGTAAATCATACAGCAGGAGATTGCCCATCTTTCTCTGTGAGCAGCTAACGGATTTGAGACCTGTCTCTTGTTTGGCTGATATTTTTTTTAGTCGTAAGTGAGGAAGAGAGTAATTTCAGCTACAGACTTAAAGGGGGACTGTTATTGCTGTTGTTATGTGCTGTTGAGTCACTTGTGACTCATAGCGACCCTATGTACAACAGCCCTAAACCTTGCTCTGTCCTGTGCCAATCGCATTGCCTCTGACACACCCATCCCGATTACCCCAGTCACTGAATCAATTCACCTCATAGAGGGCTTTCCCCTCCTGCGCCTTCCCTCCACCCTCCCAAGCATGATGTCCCTCTCCAAGGACCAGTCTCTCCTTACAACATGTTCAAAGTATGTCAGACAAAGCTTCAGAATTCTTGCCTCCTATGAGCAGCCTGGTTTAACTCTCTTCAGGACGAACCTGTTTGTTTTCTTAACAGTCCATGGTATATTCAATACTCTTCTCCAACACCACAGCTCAAAGGCATCAATTCTCCTTCTATCCTCCCTAGTCACTGTCCAACTCTCTGATGCATAACAAGTGATTGCAAAGACCATGGCCTGTATCAGATGTACCTTAGTCTGCAGAGTGACACCATTGCTCTTCAGTACTTTGGAGAGGTCCCTAGCAGCAGACTTTCCCATCGCAATACGTCTTTAATTTCCTGGCTACTGGTGCTGAGAGTGTTGACCATGGAGCCAAGCAAACTAAAGCTGTGTACAATCTCAATCTCTTCACCATCCATCCTGATGCTGCCAATTGGTCCAGTGGTGAGAATCTTTGTCTTCTTGATATTGCGCCTCAATCCATATTGAAGGCTACAGTCTTTGACCCTCTGCAACAAGTGCTTCAGGTCCTCCTCAGTTTCAGCAAGCAGGGCTGTGTCATCTGCATAACGCAGATTGTTGATAGATCTTCCACCAATCCTGACATCACACTTCTTCTCATAGAGCCCAGCCTCTCAGATAATCTGCTCTGCATACAGGTTGAAAAGATATGGAGATAGGTCACAACCCTGGGGTACACCTTTACCAATTTTGAACCATGTAGTGTTTCCTTGCTCAGTTCTGATGACTGCCTCTGGGTCCAAGTATAGGTTTCACATTAGCACGATCAAGTGTTCTGGGATTCCCATTCTTCTCAGAGTCAGCCATGGTTGAAAGGGTGACGACCTGCCAGAAATTCACATTGGGTTTAGAAGAGACACCAGGGACATCGCTGCTGATGTCAGATGGATCCTGGCCCAACGCAGAGAATGCCAGAAGAATGTCTGTTTGTGTTTTATTGACTATGCAAGGACATTTGACTTTTTTGGATCATAATGAACTATGGCTACCATTAAGAAGAATGGGAATTCCAGAACTCTTAATTATGCTCATATGAAATCTATACCTTCGATAAAAAGCTACACTGCATGGCTTAAAATCAAGACATGTGTGCAGCAAGTCTGTATCTTTTCTCCATACTTAACTCAATCTGTATGCTGAGCAAATCATTTGTGAAGTTGGACTCTATAAAGAAAAATATGGCCTCAAGATTGGGGGAAGACTCATCAACAATCTGCATTATGCAGATGAGACAGCCTTGCCTGCTGAAAGCAAGGAGGACCTGAGATGCTTGCTGCAGAAGATCAAGGACTACAGCCTTCAAAATGCATTACATTTCGGAGAGCTCTGGTGGCCTAGTGGCAAGAAGCTGCACTGCAATCCCAGAGGCGCATGGTTCAAAGGAAGGAGGGACAATTTCCTCCTGTACCACTGTACCAGTCAGACCCAATTTGATGGTACACACACACACACACACACAAATAATAATAAAAATTTAAAAATGCATTACATTTCAACATCAAGAGCAAAAAAAAATATCCTCACTACTGGACTAATAAAAAACATCATGATAAATGGAGAAAAGATCGAAATTGTCAATTATTTCATCTTACTTAGATCCACAAACAACATTTTTGGGAGCAGCAGTAAGGAGAACTAGAGATATAATACTGGGAAAGTCTGTAGTTAGTGGCCTCTCCAAATTATTGAGGAGTAATGATGTCACTTTGAGGACTAAGGTGTATCTGATTCATGTGATGGTCACTTACTATGTCATTTACTGAGAGCTAGATGGTGACTAAGGATGACAGAAGAAGATTTGATGCCTTTGAGCTGTGATGTTGGAGAAGAGCAATAAATCCCACAGACAGCCAAAAGAAGAAGCAGATGTTTTGGAGAAGGTGCAGCCAGAATGCTCCTTGGAGGCAAAGATGACAAAGCTTTCTGTCATATACTTTGGGCATGTTATCAGGAGAGGCTAGTCCTTGGGGAGGGACATCATGCCTGGAAAGGTGGGGGGATGGTGGAGGAGAGGAAGACCTTCAAGCAGGTGGATTGACACAGAGACTGCAGCTGTGGACTTGAATGTGTCAGAGATTGTGAGGTTGGCACAGGATAAGTCAGGCTTCAGAACTATTGTTCAGAGGATTGCTATGAGTTGTACTTGACTTGACAGCACATAACAACAACAACAACAACAACAACAACAGGGAGTTCTGATGGCCTAGTGGTTAGAAACTGCACTGCAGCTCCCAAAGGCACACAGTTCAAACCCACCAGAGGTGCCAAGGGAAGAGGCCGGCCCATCTCCTTCTGTTCAGGTTACTGCCTCTGAAAACCCACTGGAGGATTAACTAGGGGGCAGTTCCAGCTCAGTAGGGCATAATAACAACAAGAGCTGTTTAGAAAGTGAAATCAAAGAGGTGCGCACATTCTGAGAGACTTGCTTGGACAGGGCCCAGAGAAGGGTGACCCGGACCCGTGTGGCAGAGTGGAGAATGCACGCACTCTGTTAATTAAGCGTGAAGACATGGGTTCGAGTCCTGAGTGGGGGACTAGTTGAGTCATCTTGAACGAGTTCTTCCCTGTGAGAACGCTCCTGGTTGGATGAGCTGAGGGTTGGTTCCAGTTCTAGCGACAGACAAAGATGTGAGAGCTCCAGCTCGTTTACCCTGTAGGCTCAGAGGGTCCAGCAAGCTGAGGAATAGGATTTCAATTTATAGAGTATCAGCCAAAGCGGGGCGGAGATTGAGACCCAAGTGCCTGCAGGGCTGGGTAAGGTGCGGCGCTCACCTGCTGGTGGGAAGGGAGCCTTGGGGAAAGTTGGTGCTGGGATCTGTCAAGTTGTCTGTGACTCCCAGCGATGTTTGAACAGCAGATCTCAAACTTTCTCCTGCGCCCTCTTCCTGATCAAGCCCACTGTGGAAGTCACTATGTCAAGCCCTCTCTCTGAGGGTCTCCCTCTCTTTCACTGACTGTAACCTTTCCCAGCATGATGTCTCTCTCCAAGGTTCTTAGTAAGTGAGACAAGTGTCACCATCCTTGCCACGAAGGAGTACCCTGGTTGCACTTCCTTCAAGATATACTCATTCTTTGGCCATCCATGGGACATTCAATGCTCTTCTCCAGCGACACAATTCCAGGGCACCAATTCTTCTGCCGTCCTTATTCATTGTCCAACTTTCAGATGCCTAGAAAGCGACTGAAAATACCATGACTTGGATCAGACACACCTTAGTCTTTAAACTGGTATCCTCACTCTTTAGCACTTTCTACTGGTCCTGACAGCAGACCTCCCCAAATGCAACACACCTTTTGATTTCTTGACTTCTGCTTTCTTGGGTGTTGATTGTGGATCCAAGTAAAAAGAAATCATTGTCAACTTGAGTGTTCATCTGTCATGATGTTGCCTATTGGTCCAGTGGGGAAGTGTTTGTTTTCTTGATGTTGAGATGTATGTACCCCATGTCTTTGAGCTGCAGTAACTACGTCAAGTCTTTTTCCGTTTCTGTAACCTAGATCGTGTCATCTGCATAAGGCGCGTGGTTGGTGAGCTCGCGCCTGGACCAGGTAGCTCACTCCCCACTTCAGCCCCTGCATCAAGCTGCCTTTTTAAACCTGTTCACCTCTCATACCTCGGCATTCCTTCCCATTGTTTTGACTTCTTTTTGTTGCAATGCCAGTTTCATTGTTTCTTCTGACGTCCATTTTGGTGGGAGTTTTTTGCGTGTTTCCTGTCTTTTTAATGACCTTTTTTTTTGCTTTCTTCCTGGATGATGTCTTGGATGTCATTCCACAGTTCTTCAGGTCTTCAGTCATTAGTGTTCGATACATCAAAGCTGTAGTTTAGATGGTTTTTAAATTCAGCTGGGATACACTCAGTCACATTTTGATTCTCATGAACTTGGTTTCATTTTCTTCAGCTCCACTTTGAACTTGCTCATGAGAAACTGATGATCTGTTCCAGTCGACACCTGACCTGCTTTTGACTGCTGATTTTGAGCTTCTCCAATGTCTCTTTCCACAGAGGTAGTCCGTCGGATTCCTCTGTAGTCCACGGAGTGGTCCATGTGTATAGTCACTGTTTACATCTGTTGTCTCGCCTGACAGTTTGTGGGGTCTTGCATGTTGCTGTGATGCTGAAGCTTCTCCACTAATATTTCAAATACCAGCAGGGTCACCCAGAGTGGACAGGTTCCAGTGAAGCTTCCAAATTAAGACAGACAAAGAAGCAGGACTGGCCATCCACTTCTGCAATAACCGGCCTTTGAAAACAGTGGGCAATGGAAGAAC